TTTTTTGGCAAAAGTCGAAACTAGTTTTGACTTTTGCCAATGGCAAAACCTCTAGGTTTTGCCTAACAACACTAGTTCTGGAGCTCAATTTTTCTGGAATTCGTACTAGCGCAACATATGCCATCTTTGAGGAGAGCTTTCACAAACGTTTGAATCTATTTATGTCAAGATTTATGTATCGATATCAACAGGAGTTGGGTCATCATTTTCATATCGTTGATGAAAATTCCGATGCTTTGACAAACTTATTAAGGTTGCTGAATGCGATAGAATTATGCGGTTACAAGGTATTTTTCCCTTTGTTCGGTCATATATTTGTTCAAAAAGTAATAAATGATTATCCTTATACATCTTTAGCTATATATTTGCATTGATGAGTACGATGCTAGCATTAATGAATTCTTAGAGACGAAACTGTCATCCAAGAACTCACCGATAATCACAAACATGAGAACAAGACCAAATTAATTGAGAGTTCATTCAAGCAATTTTACAGTTATTTGAAGACTGCTTGTGATAGAGGCATAGCTTATATTTTCCAAACTGGCGTAACCCCTGTTGCTATGTCTGAATTTACCTCGGGGTTTAATATTTCAACAGATTTAGCGTTAAGCGAAGAATTTTGGGACTTATATGGATTCAAGCAGTCAGAAGTTGAACTTCTTTTGGACAATGCTCTTAGAAATAATCTACCATCTGATGTTAAGAAGGGGATAGTAAAATGGTTAAAAGAGGAAAATGACGGATATTTTTTTAATCCTAATCAAGCTGAGGGTATATTTAACACTGCTCGTATTCTGTACTGTATTCGAATGTTGATTGGGCAAATAAAATTTACAAGCTACGGTGAAGATTCTTCAAACATCATCAAGAAATTTCTTCGTTTCCCCCCTGATCCAAACACATTGCCTTCTCAAACAATATTGGAATTAATTGGCAACAATTCCCTTGGCAAATCTATCCTTACTGAAGCACTCAACCGAAGTCCTCTCGAATCAAGAAATGGTATAGAACAACGATTTCGTCTCACTAGCATTCGCGAGCTGGCAACCGACCGCAACCCATTATTATCATTCATGTTCTATACTGGTGCTCTCACATATCAACCGAATTCATTACGACATATATTTCGAATCCCAAATCGTGTTTCCGAAAGAGAGTTTATTGCAGAGGCGCTAAAAATCTACGACTAGAAAGAAGAGGATTTAATACCTGTACGAAGTTGCTTGCTGATTTTGGAGGCAGAATGTAACATCGAACCGCTCTGCCGATTTGTAGAGGAAACTTTACTTAAGCCATTGAAGGACAATAGTATTAAGCATTCAAATGAAGAGGCCTTGAAACAATCTTTTATAGACACTTTAATTCTCACTCTTCACGCAAACATTGAACCAGAGTTTCAGGTAAATTCTCAGAACTCTAATTTAGGTAATAAGGCAATCGATTTAGTGAAAACAAGTACCGGAGGAAGGATAGCAATCGAATTTGATAATATTAGGATGGAATACATTAACCTAAATGGAGCTCAAGGTACTTGGCAGGTAGTGATTTGAATCGGTTGGGCTATAATCGGTTAATCGACCGAACTGAATAAATTTCGGTTAACCGGTTGAGGAAATTCTTAATCGGTTGACCCGATACAACCGGTTGAGAATTGGGTAATCGGTTGGCGGAATCGATATAATATGAAAATGACGTAAGGAGAGAGTAAAGAGTCCGAAAAGAAAATGAATGAACATAAAGACAAGACAAAAATTTGAGTAAAGCACCGAGAATTTCCGATGGTATAATTAATCTTAACCGGTTGGCAATCGGTTGAATGAAATATTTCGGTTCGGTTAACCGATTAAGGAAATTTTTCTCGGCTCAAATCACTATTGGCAGGAAGCAACACAAGTATCACGATCATTGATGATGAAATTAGAGGATGAAATTTTAAGCCTTGAAATTAGTGATCCATACCGACCAGATCAAAAAACAGTTCATGAAGCTTTGGAATAGAAGATTAAAAAAAAAAGAAAAGAATATTTAGAGCCGTTAAAAAAACGACATGATGCAGAGTTGAGATGTATGTTTATTGTTTTGAGGGTAGGTTTGCATCGTCTAATTAGCAGGAGAGTCTATTGCGTTAATGAATAGCCTGTAGGATTAATTATTGAAATAAAAATTTTTCCCGATAAAGGCTTTGGTCATTAACTTGTGTATCTGGTATGATGTGTAATTTGCATGAGAAAAATAAAAGTGTATATGCTATTATATTTAGATACGATGTATCCTCGATCAAGTCGAATAAAGTTAATTTCTGTTTATTGTACATATAAATTTCGCAATGAAGAAAGCCCTGGTGGCTGATTTCGCATAAATAATCGCGTTTACTTTTACATGTGTATTTCGTGAATTTATTTATTGTATTGATATCGATGTATATTACTCGCATATGAGAATTTTTTTACGCAGTCATGTATTTTGGATTTATTTATTTTTTGTGTTTACGTAGCATGTATCTCTGATTATATTTTGATAAAAGAATTAAATATATCCGTGTTTTATTAGTAACATAGCGGTAGCAGAAAAATTGTGCAATCACGTGCCTGACGATCATTTCCGAGATCGGTTCCGACCTACTTATTTCGTAACACTACTATAACACATGTATATACGTATATATGTTCATAGGCAGAAATTCGTCTGATTGGCTAGCTTTGTAGATCAATTTGTAGATCTACATGTGATTATATAGGATAACTTTCTCGTGATTGGTCGTCACATGAAATTGAATAACACGTTATTATTGGCCAATTGTGAAACAT